AGGCAGAAGGACTAGGCAAGACCTCTTCTAGGCAGAAAGGCTAGGCAAGATCTTGAGAACTGCTGCCACTCAGAGTACAGTAAATAGGCTTGGGACCAGTGACCTGACTCAATGTAGGGCAAGCTTCATATGCATAGGGGTCTATCTAGTTATGCCCCTTAGTTCACAGAAGGCTGTTCAGTCCATTGGTGGCTTCCATGAACCGAAGCAGGGAATGGTTCAACTGATTCACCCTTCCAACTGCAGCCACATCCCCTGTGATCCACCCCTCAGGTGGGAAACTCTCCAGAATAGTGTGGGAAGCAGTGAAGGGGGCTGTAAAAGAGTGGGAGAATTTGAGGGAGGAAATCACATTCCATTCTCTGTTTGTGGATGTCTCCGCTGGAGCAAAAAGTATTCAATGAACAAAGGGGAGCAATTGGATGCAACTCAATCTATTGATTTAAAATAAGAATATTCAGCAACCAGGTATTGTGAGTGCATGCTCACACACAGAGAGAGTGAGAGAGGGAGGGAGGGAGATGTTTTAAAAGTGGCCCCGCTTGAAGGCTTACATTCTAATGGCATGCAGACAAACATTAAAAAGAGAGATGGAAAAAGTGAGTAATGATATTTTACCTACAATTCCAGTTTCTGTGTATTATGTCACACTACGTGTATTCAGGTGTTGGTGCATGGTGAATAGAAATATCCTTGTAACCTGCTCCATAGATTTTTTTTCTCTCCAAAGGTATATTGTCCACAATGGGGGTAGGAAATTATGCTGACATGATACTGATCTAGATTGAGCTTTTGTCTGCTGATCTTAACATATTTTTTTCTTTAATTTACACAGCATGAACCATATAGTAAATGGTTGAGAAGAGCAACAATTATGGTCGATGTGAGATACACACACACACACACATATCACTTTTTTATGCCTCTTTCAAGTCTCACCATTCCAGCATTGCCCAGGGACCCTTTCTCTGCTGACTGATCCCACCAAATTCTATTAACTGCTTTCTTTTTGTTTTTAAATTTAATGGACCACTTTTGAAGATCTAGAGGAATTTTAATGCAGATGGGAATATATACGTGCAATTGCTGCAGCTCAGATTTGCTACCTAGCTGGTTTTATGAACTGTTGGGTGTTTTTTAAAGCTTGCTTGCGTCTTACACAGAGGGCAGTTTTACGTTTCTTGATTTAGATTGATAACCCATTCTATCCCAGGGGCTCTAGGTGGATAGCAATAATACCAGCACAGTAACAAAGCAAAACACTGCCTCTAAGGCATTGTAATCTAATCCATTAATAGAGAGAGCTAGCAAGGAAAAAGGAGGTTTCAAAAAAGTAGGAACACATTTAAACATGCTGTTTATAAATAGATTTTTATAAAATTTGAGGAGCTGTCCCTTTACACTTGCTTTGGCTTGTTTCTGCTATTTGCTTGTTTCTGTTAGCATCCAGCACTGGACTCTCAGAGCTTGTCTACATCTGAGCATTATTTAGCTGTTAATTTGCTTCCCCTGCCCCATTCAGATTAGACTGGAATAATCCACACCCACGTATTTGAATTTGTGTATACAGTGGTACCTCAGGTTACAGATGCTTCAGGTTACAGACGCTTCAGGTTACAGACTCCACTAACCCAGAAATAGTACCTCAGGTTAAGAACTTTGCGTCAGGATGAGAACAGAAATCGTGCGGCAGCAGCGGGAGGCCCCATTAGCTAAAGTGGTACCTCAGGTTAAGAACAGTTTCAGGTTAAGAACAGACTTCCAGAACGAATTAAGTTCTTTAACCTGAGGTACCACTGTAATGAACAACTTTGGTCTTTCCTATTCATACCAATAGGCATTCTCTTTTGTGTTTGGCCCCACCATCTACTATTATGCTAATTAAATATAAACAGGGAGTACACACAGATAGCTGTGCAGTATCATGTTATTTTTCTTTGGATCCCTCAGAATTGCACAAAAGCAGAAAACGGCACAAGCAAGCAACGTTAAAAAAATTATTTAATGAGCTTTACTTCTGCATCTTTCTGGTTTTGTGCAAAACCTGAGGAATCAGGGGTGGGGATGTTTCTCCATCAAGAGTTCTGGAAATCAGGAGCGCAGGTGCAAAAAATTGGAAATTCTCAGTATAAATGTTTCAAATTAACCTGCTGCGCAGTGTCTGGTGTGGAAATTTTTATGTGGTTTAATGCGGTTTGCATTTGCAGTAGTCTGATTTTATGCAAATCTGAGGGATCAAAGGAAATACATATATAGTTTCGGACTGCATGGAAATTGTTACAAGCACAGCTGGAAAATACATGAAAGCAATGAGCAGATGGTTGGATAATCCACATATGGAGTAAACCTGAATTTCTAAATAGTGGCACACCATCTCTGGAATGCTCTCCACAGGGAGGATCACCTGGCACCTACTCATGTCTTTTCAGCACCAATCAAATGCTTTATTTTCCTAGGTGCCTTTAAATGTAGGTCGAGCGGGTGTGAATTCTGTGTTTTTACTGCTCTGCTGCTGTTAATGTCATTGCAGTATTTGTTATTAGTTGTTTGTTTTATTATTATTATTATTTGTAACCTTCCCCGGATGTGACAACACTAAAAGGCAGGGTAAAAATTCCTAAATAAATGAACATCAGTGTGATGGAGAAGGTGGAGAGGGGTAACATGTACTTTCTTCTCTACAGTCTACTCTGTTCCTTGACAGCTAAATCTGGTCAACTGAAAGGTCAATTGTTCTATAACTTTTATTTCTTTCATGGACCTTAATCTGAGAGTGCCTTATCCTCTATTGACATTTGATTGAGTGCATGAGATTTAGAGTTGGGTGAGCATCTCCTTGTGACTAATGCTCCTTGCAAATTTTGACACTTTCCCCATTGAATCATTCTCTAGGAATACATTTTCCCATTAGTCAAGCAGCCCTAATGAAAATGTACTCCAGCTAATGGGCCTATTTTCCTTTTCGCATTGAAATTCAAGTCATCATCCCATTTTGGCCTCCCCTCTTGGCGATGTGGGATTGAAAAATAGCAGATTCAACCTTTCTGAAGGTGAAAGCTAAGATGGGGTTTAAACAAAAATAAAATAAAAATTAGGCCACTCAGGATACCCAAAAACTCTACGTTGCAGTACTTAAGGGATCAAAGGGACTTTTTATATTTTACCAGCTAAATGTTACATGTTTTTATTAAATATTTTACTGAGTACATGCATATCCTCCAACATGTCACAGTGAAAAACTGGGCTGCAAGTCTTACAGGGCCATGCTCCCATGTGAGTCACATGACATGTGCGAGATCACGGCCCTGAAAGACATGCTTTTTCAGGACTGTGCTCTCATGGCACCCCAAATGTGTGTTTTGGGGGTGCCGTGCAAGTTCGCAGCCCGCCCAAAAAAAATTCTTTTGGGAGGTGAGATCACGGCACCCAAAAACATGTGTTTTGGAGTGCTGTGCTCTCACACAAGAAAAGAGGGATGTGGTATGCACCTCACAGTAGAGCCTAGAGCAGGAAATGTACCAAAAAGGGCAATAAAAAAGATCGGAGTCTGTAGCTACAAGGAAAACTTGCAAAATTTGGGACTGTTGGGGAAAGGTATGTAAAGGGAACATGTTTCAGATGTGTAAAGTTATGCACGGTGTGAATAGATATATGTTTTCTTCCTCTCTCATATCTCTGGAAACCAGAATTATCCAATGAAGCTGAAAGATGGAAGATTCAGAGCAGATGAAAGGAAATACTTAACAGTTAAACTATGGAATTGGGATTAGACAAATTAATGGAGCATAAGACTATTAATGCCTTCCTGTCAGTGTGGCCACTCACTACCTCCAGGATCAGATGGGTGGCCACTATGGAAAAAAGGAAACTGAACTAGTCTGGTCATCTTGTTTGATTTTATGTTCTTATGCCTAGGAAATTTGCTGGAAAGTGGCAGGGCAGGAAGCAGCAGAGACTCTCCCTTCTTCCTGCCCAAATCACTTTTTTGGAGCTAATTATTAAAGCCCAGGCTTGAGCTTTATCAGTGGTGGCAACTAGGGATGGAGGAGAAATTTGTTTCAGTTCATATTATCAGATGTTCCCTTTCCAAAACAATTTGACAGTCAGAACATGGACATCCTTAGGAATTTTCACTTATCTGAATTCTGTGATGCGGTTCTCCGACCAAACAATGTTTACAAATATGCATATAATCAGGGAAAGTGCATATAGAAATTAATACAGTGGTACCTTGGTTTACAACCATAATCCGTTCCAGAGGTCCATTTGTAAACCAAAACAGGTTGTAACCCAAGGCGCGTTTTCGCCAATGGGGCCTTCCCAAAAAATTGGTTCGTTATCCCAAAAAAATGGGTTGTAATCCAAAAAAAAGGTTGCAAACTGGGACACACACTTCTGGCTTTGAAGTGTTTGTAATCCAAAATGTATGCAAACCAAGACGTATGCAAACCAAGGTACCACTGTGCAGTAGTGAAAATAACATTCAAGTATGCATTGCATTAGGGAAAATTGCTTGAAGAAAATGTACATTAGCCAAAATCTTGCGCAAAAAATATTTTATTAGAACAAATTTGCACTATAATGCTGATTGATTTTCATGAGGATTATTTATTTATTTTAAAAAATGCAACTTGCTGCAGAAATGTGGAGAACTTCATTTAAGAATGGGAAAATGAGAAGCATTGAGAACCGAAACTGATGACCCTCCCATCTCTGGTGGGAAATGCTTGTATAATGTGGGGGATCCTGTCATAGCTAAGGCTACCAGGTTTTGTTTCCAGTGACTGTATATTCAGTTCAGAGCACTACTCAAGGCTGAGGAAATGGGGGACAGATGGCTCCACACAGGAAGCCACACTTTCATGAGATAAGTGCAACCAGTTTTGTAGCACCGCAGCATTACAAAGATGTAGAACATTGATACAATGATATGCACATCATACAGTCCTTGGAACTTTGGTTCACCTCTTTGTTTTGCTTCTCTCCTCCTCCTTCTTTAGGGCTTCATGGATATCGACTTAGGGAAATTCAAGGAAAGTGGTGCAAATGTGACTGGATTCCAGCTGGTGAATTATACAGACACCATCCCAGCCAGGATCATGCAACAGTGGAAGAGCAATGATGCCAGGGAACAACCTCGTGTGGACTGGAAGAGGCCAAAGGCAAGTGGTACTGAAAACCGTTTCTCTGAGGTAGCCTTAGCGCTGCACTCTTGTCATTAACATGCTTTCCATTTGAAATCAGAAACTCAGAGTTTTAATGTTCGTACCAAATCACAACAAACATGTTGGTCAGACAACATTTTGCTTGCTTAATCAAGAGAGGTCTCCCCGTGTGATATGAAAAGAAGAAGAATTGAACAACTCTTCATTTATTTAAATCATATATATACTGCTCAACATTGAAGAGGTGTACAGTAATATTACAAAAAATAATAATACAGTGGATAGAATCAATTAAAATTAATCACAAAAATAGAAAGCTGAAAATGCCTGCTGAAATATAAAGATATGTAACAAGTGCCTGGAATTCAGCTGGGAGGGGGCCTGAGTAATCTCAGCCAGGAGGGAGTTCCACAGAATCAGGCCCATGATACTGAATGCATGGCTTCTGGGCGACATAAGCCATATATCTGAGCCTTGGGGAACCACTAACAGAAACTCTTAGAAGAGCTGCTTCAGACTGGAAGAGGGGTTTTTTGTTTCTGTAAGAACAAAGTACTATATGGCAGAGTGAAATAGTTCTGTCAATTTCTGTCAGGGACTGGACTGATAAGGAATGGTGGAGACCGCCCCCCCCCTCCCCCCGCATCTCCCAGGACAGTATAGCTTTACAACAGTGGTTTGCAGAAGGTCATGGCGCTGAGACAGAAGAGAGGCAAAGCTGGGAGATAATGGGAGGAGAGGGGGGAGGAGAACCAGAGCCAAAGCAGCTGGCTGACACGTTATCACTAGAAAGCATTCCAACCCCCAACCCCCCTTCTCCCAGAACCTGGAGACCAGTGAAAGTGGTAGAGCAGAAAGCGAAGAGGCAATTGGCCCCAAGCAGCCACCGTAAAGGGGGTGGCACTGCAGATGACTGAGAGGGAAAGGGGGGAGGAGATTACTCGGAGCAACGCCATTACCTGAGAGGCAACATTTCTAAGCTTCTCTCTGTGAATAAAAGACTTTGGTAAGAGCTTCTTGTATCTCTATTACTGGCAGCCTGCCGTGAGGGAGAGGGATCAGATTCCCTGAAGCCTGACAATTTCTAGAAGTACTGCTTTTTGAAGTATATACAGTATATAGCTATATATCTGTATATCTATACTGTATATATACACCCTGGCACACGAGGAATCTTTTGGACATATATTTGGCTTTGTGAATCAAGCATACTTCCTTTTCTGAAACAATATTAGCTGAACTCCCGCATCTCTGGGCTTCTGTTTTGCTGCTAGGAGAGAGAATATGTCAGACTGACAACCCAATTCTAAACACGTTTACTTGGAAAAATGATTCCACTAGGTTGCATTTCCAAGTACCGGTAAGCAGAATTGCAAGCTTAAAGTAATTTGCTTGGCCTGGGAGGAAAGACAGGGTATAAATTTTTTAAAAAATGTGCATAGTGAAATACTACTGTTTGGGATCATGCTCCATGGCTATGTCCATAATTGTTTAGCTTTGAATTAAAGTGTTCAAAATGTAAACCTTTTTTAAAAGCAGCAATAACAATTTTCAAGCATAGCATTCTATCAGATCTCCAACTCAGCCTGTGCCTTACCTTCTGGTACATCATTTCTTCATGTACAACATAAGTTCCTCCTAACCATGAAGTCCAAGACATTAAAATCTAAAATTGAAATGAATACCGGCAGGGGGTGGGCTTCCAAAACTGGAATTCAGTTGGGTCTACAAATCACAGGATATGAAACCAGCAAGTCTGAAACCTCCAATCCTCTGGCCAAATTTGGATCAACACAGGTCCCAATTTGGCCGACGAGGCTGTTTCTCCCAAATCATACCACCTTGCCCTACACATGTCATCAGGTGTGGGGCAGGTATAGACACAACTGGATTGGCAGCTGATCCCTTCAGAAAGCAAGGTTGAAATCACTGCCCAACGTTTACTTAGGTAAGTCCTACTGACCTCAGTTGGCCTTACATCTGAGCAGACATTTGCAGGATTGTACTGGACATCAGTCAAAGCCAAGCATAGAGGCCTAGTCTTTAGCTCAAATGACAAAGTCTCATACAATTGTTCTTTTAATTACAAAGCACCTGATCCTAGCTTGCTGACATATTCCCACAATATTTTCATTTGAACTGATACTAGTGAAAGCCCATTCAAACTACAGCTTGAAATTAAATTCTGTTAAATTAGCTTTAATTTGTAGGTTCCTCTTTTGGCAAAAGGAGCATGAGTTTCCAAGTTTCTGGCCCTAATAGGAAGGACATATCTTTTTTTCTGTTTTCTAGTACACATCTGCTCTTACGTATGATGGAGTTCGAGTAATGGCAGAAGCTTTTCAGAGTCTCAGGAAACAGCGGATTGACATCTCTCGCCGTGGGAATGCGGGGGACTGCCTAGCAAATCCAGCTGTCCCTTGGGGACAAGGGATTGACATCCAGAGAGCTCTGCAACAGGTCAGAAAGCCAACTGTGGTGCAGAATCTGTTATTTTTCAATGAGAAGTCTTTCAAATATGCAAAAAAAAAATCCAGTTGTCCCTTTACTTCCTTAACATTGGCATGATACAATCAGTATTTTATGGAATGCAAACTGGACGCATCCTGTTGAATCATTAACAGCCATGAACACTGAAAATTTACAGTCAGATTGAAGATCCAAAGTTGAATGGTAAACTTTGACCTGCCAATTTAGGAAAATAAAACTTGAAAAAGAAAAGACCTCTAAAGACATTTGGAGAGAAATGCACTTTCGTGGAGGTCTTGTTCATAAGCTCACCAAACTTTATTTCCAGTCCTCCAGAAATCTTTAATGAGCATAGGTAGCTATGATCTCCATTTTTATACAATACAACAGTAGGCACTGGCTGTGTCAAATGTGCAGGAATAGCATGTAGTGGAATAATTCCTGGATTATACAATTTCACACTGCTGAGGGTGGATGACATGTTTGAATGTTCTCTGTAAATGAAACGTATCAGAGATAAGGCTAAGTAAGTCCCCTTCTCCCGTGACTCAGGGGCAAAGGAAGGGGGTTCAGTGGGGGCGGGCCGTCCTGGTTGTCACCACTGAGGGGGGTGACAAAATGCTGGGCGGCACTCACCACAGGGCCTGCAGTGCACCCAAGCCACGTGTCTCTCCTGGGAGTGACGCAGTGGCTTGGGCACTCACAGGCTCCACGTTGCCCCAAACAGTTCGCCCGCCACCTCTCCCTTAACTGTAGGATGGCTGAGTGGGAGGAGGCAGGCAGACTCCTTGGAGGCCCTGCGGAGCGTCCTGCCCTGGCTCGCCCCACTCCCGCAGGTGGCTGGCCCTGCTCCTAGGCACAGGGCACCCACGCACACCGCCCCTGGTGCCCAATCGGCTTGCTCCACTGCTTCCTTGACTTGCTAGGTTTTCCATTATTTTACTGGATAAGAGAGACTCTGCTGAAGCATAGTAGCTTTCCCTTTTCTTCTACTACACAGTGATTTATTATTTGTGTTAACATCATTGTGCATCACTATATAATTCTGCATATCCATGATGCACGGAATGAACAGAGACTGAGTACTTGCTTGTTTCTGTGTGGTCCGTGTGCGATCTAAAACTATAGCATAGCTTTTGCTCTTGAAAAGTGCTTCTTAAAAAACTGGTTTTGTTCTGAAAATAAAAGTGCATTGCAGGTTGATTCTGTATTATCCTGAAATGTGTCCATTGGAAAACAGATGTAGGTAGTCCTGGCATTGGGGGGTGTATCCACACCTGCCCGATATTATGGGTGGGTGTTTACCAAGACCTCAATCATCACTTCTTTCTTAGAATAGAATAATAGAATCATAGAGTTGGAATAGACCACAAGGGCCATCGAGTCCAACCCCCTGCCAAGCAGGAAACACCATCAGAGCACTCCTGACATATGGTTGTCAAGCCTCTGCTTAAAGACCTCCAAAGAAGGAGACTCCACCACGCTCCTTGGCAGCAAATTCCACTGTCGAACAGCTCTTACTGTCAGGAAGTTCTTCCTAATGTTTAGGTGGAATCTTCTTTCTTGTAGTTTGGATCCATTGCTCCGTGTCCGCTTCTCTGGAGCAGCAGAAAACAACCTTTCTCCCTCCTCTATATGACATCCTTTTATATATTTGAACATGGCTATCATATCACCCCTTAACCTCCTCTTCTCCAGGCTAAACACACCCAGCTCCCTTAGCCGTTCCTCATAAGGCATCGTTTCCAGGCCTTTGACCATTTTGGTTGCCCTCCTCTGGACACGTTCCAGTTTGTCAGTGTCCTTCTTGAACTGTGGTGCCCAGAACTGGACACAGTACTCCAGGTGAGGTCTGACCAGAGCAGAATACAGTGGCACTATTACTTCCCTTGATCTAGATGCTATACTCCTATTGATGCAGCCCAGAATTGCATTGGCTTTTTTAGCTGCCGCGTCACACTGTTGGCTCATGTCAAGTTTGTGGTCAACCAAGACTCCTAGATCGTTTTCACATGTACTGCTCTCAAGCCAGGTGTCACCCATCTTGTATTTGTGCCTCTCATTTTTTTTGCCCAAGTGCAATACTTTACATTTCTCCCTGTTAAAATTCATCTTGTTTGTTTTGGCCCAGTTCTCTAATCTGTCAAGGTCGTTTTGAAGTGTGATCCTGTCCTCTGGGGTGTTAGCCACCCCTCCCAGTTTGGTGTCATCTGCAAATTTGATCAGGATGCCCTTGAGTCCATCATCCAAGTCGTTGATAAAGATGTTGAATAAGACCGGGCCCAAGACAGAAACCTGCGGCACCCCACTAGTCACTCTTCTCCAGGGCAGAAGCAGGGAGGAAAAGGTGTAGATAACCTAATCAAGCAGGTGGCGGGGTCAAATGCATGTAAATAACCACACCTATTCTTCTAGATGACAAGATGTATAATAAATTGACATTGAAGACAGCATGTTGAATATGTGCATAAATTATTCTGGATTGAGAATGACTACATTTTTGTGCTAGGAATGAGTTAGTGTGTACACAGCCCTACTGTATCTTTCACTGATGGAATTCTAACCCATTGTACATAACTAGCTGAGCTTGCAGAACCAATCAAATCATGATAGCTTTGTTATCTGGATCACCTTACCAGGTAGTAAGGAGAATTCTACTAAGACACCAGGTGGAAATGTATAGGAACGTTTCTCCATATCCACTCTTTGCAATGCAGTTAGGACTGAGAAGCAACCTTGTCAGCTTAGATATTACCATATCCAGATTTGGTATACAAAGATCTTGATACACTCATATGCGGGTTTGATCTGATGTTAAAGATTTGGCTGGAGGAAAAATACCTAAAGTCCATAACAAACTTTATCTTTTAACAGATTCCTGTATTTTTTTTAAGGTGCGCTTTGAAGGACTGACTGGTAACGTCCAGTTTAATGAGAAAGGACATCGGACCAATTACACCCTTCATGTGATTGAAATGAAACATGATGGGATCAGAAAGGTAACGGTCTACTTTGTCTTTGAAAACAGAAGAGAGTAATCTTCGAACTGCAACTTGTTTTTAAGAACATTTCTTCTCGAAAGTTAGCTTCTGTTGCGAGAAATATATACGAGTAAATTTTGTCTGGATGAATCTGTCTGCTTATGAGCTGTGTCACTTCTCCATGTTTTTTAGCCACAATTCCATTCTGTTTCGTTTCCACATTAATCAAACTGTGATTCATTTTTTATCCTATCAGACTACATAACTTAAATGCTTATTTTCATAAATATTGTAATCTGAATTTTCTCCAGAAGCAGCGGGCCATGATTCTAGCTTTATGGCACTGGTGTTGCTGCTGCTTACTAGGAAGGAGAGGGGCAAGATCGCAGAAAGGCTGGGACTCTGTGGACACACGGGCAGAGCCAATCTGGTGCTCTTCTCAGGGCAGCTACACAGCCTTGACCTCCCTGCTGCCTCACCCCTCTTCCTACCAGTAATCATAATCATAATTTATGATTTCTACCTCACCCATCTGGCTGGGTTTCCCCTGCCACTCTGGGCGGCCCCCAACAGAATATTAAAACACGATAAAACATCAAACATTAAAAACTTCCCTAAACAGGGCTGCCTTCAGATGTCTTCTAAAAATCAGATAGTTGTTTATTTCCTTGACATCTGATGGGAGGGCATTCCACAGGGTGGCATCACTACTGAGAAGGCCCTCTGCCTGGTTCCCGGTAACCTCATTTCTCACAGTGAGGGAACCACCAGAAGGCTTTCGGAGGTGGACTTCAGTGTCTGGGCTGAATGATGGGACTTCAGTGACACAGCTACCAAGAACCTAACATTGCGATTTTTCCTCACTGGGAAAGCTGCTTCTAATTTTCCCTCAAAAGTCATATTTTATTACATTTAAAGTGCTGAGAATTCTGATGCAAAATTCAGAGGACTGTGGTAGATAGCTTTGTTCTAATCCATACCGTAGTCTGAGAGGTGAAGATTTTGTGTAGAAGTTTGCAAGGCATTTTTTTCCCCTGTTGGGAAAGTATGCGTCAGTTCAATTTAGGAGAGTGAATTACACCAGAGGAATCTAATCTTACATTAACTATTTCACTACCACATGCCTGTATTGAAGCAGGAAAGGCAGGGCCCCCTCAGAACCAGGAATAAATTGAAAAGGCCCGTATGTTTCTATCAACATAATAACACCATTATATGTGCTCTTTGTAAAATAGGTCATGATTTTGCTGCCATGCCTTTAAAGTGTCAGGGTCAACAGGAAACTTAAGTGAGTGATTTATTTCTCACTATGCTTTAGAGTGGGTATTCTCACTAGTATTACATTCCAGGCATTTTGGAAACTAACTTTATGTCAAAGATATGCCATGATCTCTTTGTCATCATTAGATTGGCTATTGGAATGAAGATGAAAAACTTGTCCCAACAGCCGTAGATCAACAAGGAGCAAATGAAACCACAACTCTACAGGATAGGGTCTACATTGTTACAACTATTCTAGTAAGTATTTCAGCATCCTTATGTCTACAATGGGAGTGGAAAGAGGGGGGGATAAAGGCAGAAGAATGAGAGCAATGATCAGTGAAGGTGTCTTTGAGAAGGTGGGTGAATAACATGGAAAGGTAATCTTAGTCGTTGATAACCAGGTCAAAAGATGAAATCTACGAGTAAATATGGCTATAAACATTTCCAAGCTTTTGAGGTGGGGAGGGGGAAAGTTAATTACTGCCAAAAAAAGTATAGATCACGGTGCACCATTATTTATTACAGCAAACTATTCCCATGGGAATGTTATTCATTCACATTTATTTGCTTGCTTGCTTGTTTGTTTGAAATATTCTTAGGCTATCTTTAAGGATGGCACCCTCTCAAAGCAGCATGCTGAATAAAATAATGTGTACCCTCCCCCAAAAAACCCAACCACGATTAACTTAGGTTCCTTAATTTCAGTGAGTCTACTCTGAGTCGGACGTAATTGGACACAACCTATCTAATATGAACTACCATTGTGCTCTAGCATTGCAAAATATCAGTGGGAAGAACTGGAATCTATCCAAATCTTGTAACGAATTTTTAAGCTCTTAAACAGATTCCCATATCGGCATGAGGATACTGTAATTTGTCGTGAAATGCAAACAGTGTAGAATGTTCTGTCCTCATTTGCCATGATTATGGAAATTGCTGCCCAATGCTGTCTAGGATCCTGTGGTCCACGTGTTGCATTTGCCCATGTCTCGGATGTACAGCGATTCATCTTGAGTTAGCCAACTAGATTCATAATTTGCATTCTCTTTCCAATATGCATCGTGGTTAGGACTGGTTTTACAGTTGGCATGGCTAAACTGCTATTTCCTCTGTCATTATTGGTGCCTTCTGCTATCATGTGTCCAAAACTTTAAAGGGCATTGCTTCATTAGTTGGGATATTTGTTCTATGTATTGGGAGCGCTGCAAGGAATGCTGAACGGTCAGGCAGCTAAAGCACCATCCTCATGTGTTGGGAGTAGCAGCTGCCAAGCATCTGAAAGGAAGAAGCCATGGACATGGCTTTGATCTATAAAGTACTGGTTTTGACCAGTAAAGCCCTGCATGCTTCAGAACCACAATAGTTAAAGGACTGCCTTTCTCCATAAAAACCTACCCAGACCTGAAACCAGCATATGTGACCCCTCCAAGAGATGTCCAAAGGGTATTAACCAGCAAATGGGCCTTTTCTGTGGTAGTTCCTTGGTTATGAAATGCTGCCCTCCAAGGAAGCTCGCCTGGTGCCAACATTTGGATGCTACAAGTGGTCTGGCTTTTAGGAGCTGGGTCTTCTTGCATGGGGTGTGTCTGGATATTGTGTGTTTCAAGTAATTTTATGTGGACACTTTAATATGTCTTTATTGTTTTTCTCAATATCTAATTACACATTTTTGCATTACACTTTTTTTTTATAAATTACTGTGGGACTCCTTTCACTTGACTGGAACAATAGGTACACGAAATAGATAAATGAAACAATAGATAAACGAAACTCAAAACTAAAGATGAGCTACACCCACATCAGAGTCCTCCCAAAGATAGATAGGAAACTGATCCTTTCATTACCTAGCCACAGGATGTCCTTATTCTTTTCCTGACTTTCTGCCAGGAAGCAGTGCATCTTAGATAAGGGCAGGAGATCCTGGATGCCTGTGGAGGTGGCTGTGTGAATCTATAGTTCTGTGAAGGATATCAAGCTATCCTTGAACTCATTGGTTATTTGAATAGAATTATAGAATTTGAGGGAATTGAATGTTTTCCTAGCTTTTCTTTTTTGGAGTTTACGGTGGGAACACTACAAACTCTTTTCTTTCATAAGTCACCTGTAAAGTATTATAGCCAGCCTCTTTCCCACATGACGTTAGCATGATATGCATCCAGAAGGTTAAATGTGGCTCTGTAAACTGTTCTGTTTCTCCCAGGAAGCCCCGTATGTGATGGAAAAGAAGACCAATGAGCCATTGCAAGGAAATTTGAGGTACGAAGGTTATTGCGTAGAGTTAGCTGCTGAGATCGCAAAACATGTTGGCTACAACTACAGCTTGCAGGTTGTCGCTGATCGAAAGTATGGAGCACGAGATCCTGAGACTAAAATGTGGAATGGCATGGTCGGGGAGCTAGTATATGGAGTAAGTTTCTCTCACTCTCATCCTGTGGCTTAAAAACTGTAACAGCTAATGAAACAAGGACATCCCCAAGTGCATTGTTAGATGAACCCTGGAAATTTCAGATGATTTTGCATCAAGTCACTCCCCATTTGTGTTCAGTTCCTGCATGGCTGATCATTATTCACCAATCACAGCAAGACAAATATTAAAATCTGTGTGAGTCAATGTGGTGTCTCATTAATGACCCTGTGCAGTTGGCAAATAGCCACCTAAGTTGAACTATTTTCAGTCAACCGAAATTATTTGTGTCAACTATTAGTTAATAGCGAAGTATATCCTGATGAAAATAAATAGTCAGGCACAGTGCCAGCAGGAAAGTCTCCTCTTTCGCTTTTGTAGTTAAGGCTTGTTACTATCATGTCATTTCTGAATGGCAACATTAAGTAAGGAATTAAGGAATGGAGATGTCACAGGTAATAGATTGCAGCATCACTCGTGGAAGCCTATCCCATCAGTTGAAAGGTTTGTTAGGAAGGAAAAATACTAGTATTTCCATTCTAAAACACTTATTTAACATTCACTTGTGAGGAAACCACAAAGCAGTTTCATACAAAATATGAAATATTAAAATTATTGAATAAAAAACTTAACAAGAAGTATTTTAAAATATTCAGAATGAATAGTTGCTAAAAAGAAATAAAACACCTGTAGCTTTTGCACGTCTGAATGGCCTTTCCTGAACAAAAATGTTTTACTCAGGTTCTAAAAAGGGTTCAGCAACGGCACCTGCCTGATGTCAATAGACAGGGAGTTCCAAAGTGCAGGTACTGCTATACCGAAAGATTTCTTACAAGTATGGAACGAGTATTATATGGCACCTGTAGCATTGCTAGTTCTGCATATTGAAGTAGTCAAGTGAGCATACATGGGTAAGGCAATCCTGCAACCACACTGTTAACTAACAGCAGCACCTTGAACTTGGCCCAGTAGCAAATGGGCAACCAATGCAGGTCTCAGAGCAGAGTTATAAGCTGATAGGGCCTCACTCCTTTCATCGACTCTGCTGCAGCATTTAGCAGCTTCTTGCTCAAAGCACAAGGGAAGCCCCACATTAGTTATCAATAATGATTAATAATAGGAAAGAAACTAGTACCAATCCACACTGGGATTATTTTTATTTAAAACCTTACAGTAAGACAGGGTGGGCCAACATGAAGCTTTGCAAATGATGTTGGACTACAACTCACATCATCCCTGATCATGCTGTGTTTTGGCCGATGGAAGCCCAGTAACGTCTGGAGAGAACCATGCTGGTTAGCCTGGCACAGAGATAAATGTCAACTCATCAAAAGAATCTGATAAAGAAAGAAGGCAAACTGAGGTTTCTGTACAAAATATAACCCGCACTTTCAAGCTTTTTCCAAACTGGCTTTAAAGAAAAATTCATTGTGTCTGAAAATCAATTTTCACAGAAGAAAACAATATAACCCTGATAGATATAAATGGAAAGTGAAAATATTATTTAATGCCAAACAAAAAAAACAAAACAACAACAACAATTTGGTAACAAAATATTGAAACATTGGTGCATTGCGGATCTTCAAAACATTGGTCTCACTTTAATCTCTTTTTAATTTTCAGAAAGCTGATGTGGCTGTCGCACCACTGACCATCACTCTAGTGCGAGAGGAAGTTATAGACTTTTCCAAGCCATTTATGAGCCTGGGCATATCTATCATGATTAAAAAACCACAAAAGTCCAAGCCTGGAGTCTTTTCCTTTCTGGATCCCTTAGCTTATGAGATTTGGATGTGTATAGTTTTTGCCTACATTGGAGTAAGCGTTGTCCTCTTTCTGGTCAGTCGTTTCAGTCCTTATGAATGGCATAACGAGGAGGTTGAGGAAGGCCGGGACCAGCCAGCCAATGACCAAACGAATGAATTTGGAATATTTAACAGTCTCTGGTTTTCCCTGGGAGCTTTTATGCAACAAGGATGTGACATATCTCCAAGGTTAGTAATTTTCTCTGAATATGCAGTCTTTGAGATAGCGCGGTGTGTGTATGTCCAGAATCACGTGGAATGGGACATTTCTTTCATAACTTTCACCTCCAGTGTGATTAAGTTGAAGCAGGGTACTTGCTTCCTTAAAATGAAGAATGAGATTCTTGAATTGGTTGCACCTCCCACTTGCTCCACTAAGCAAATTAGAAACACATCCTTTACAGGGTGTGTTCCTTTCTGCTTAGTTCCAATAGTCAGGCCTTTGATGAAGCCCTGTCAGCCATCTTTAGGCAGTTGGTGGCAACCCATAGCTTAGAGCATTTATTGTGTTTCCTTTCTTCCTCATATGATAATCCTGTTGTGAGAGAGGGGGCTTAAAATAGAAAGAGCTTTGGAATTCCAGCTGCTACATTTCCCAAACACCTAGAGGTTTCGAGCTCAGCCCATTCAGAGGAGTTGGTGGTGGGCAGGTGACAGAAACGGAGAGGGGAAATGGCTGCCAGGAAATGGAAAGAGGAACTCCAGAGGGCTGAGGCTTAAGAAGAAGGTTGCCACCTCCCCCTAGAAAAACAGGATACCCTGGTTTGGGACAAAAATTGTCCCCTGTCTCATTTGGACTTCAAACAGGACACATTTTCCCCCCTGTATTCGAGCTTGACCAGCCCAAAATGGCAGTTGTGTCACTGTTGGTGTGGCTGATGAGGAGCTTGGCCTGGCGTGAGTGACAACAGAGAAGAGAGGGAAAGAGCAACCTCCTCTCCAACCTTTGCCCTCTCCTTCTTTCTTTCTTACTGGTACCACTGCCCTCCAGTCTAGCATGGTGCAGGTCTGCCACTGCTTAGCTCCCTCTTCCACCCCAACCTGACTACTCCCCCTCCACACTTGATTCCCTTCCGATGCAAGCATGGGCAAGAGGCTAGCACTGTAACTCAAGCCACCCATGGGAGCCAGATGTCTATCCCTTGCCCCTGCCCATCTACATGAGTCAAGGGGAAGAGCAGGTCTGCAGTGGTGAGGGAGGCAGAACGCTGAATGTGGCGAACCCCTCCCCATCCCTACCTGTCCTTAATTTTGCCTGACCTATCCTGTATTTTGTCTGATCAAAGATGACAACCCTACTTCAGAAGCAAGGATCCACCACAGTGGTGGGTCTGCTACCTCAGTTTCCCTGGGTCGGGCATTTTGGTGCAGAAGTTGATGTAGGGTGCATTGATCTGGAGACTAAACCATTTAAAAATCCTGATGCAAATGGCAGTTTTAATAAAGATATTAATTTTGGGTCAATGCCATTTTGCTTCCCACTGCAACATTTCTTCATTTTTCCTTTTTGCTATTGTTGATTCGTTTATAGTGTGTGTGGGAACAATGGGCAAATTCTACTTTCTGATTTCTAGGTATACTTGAAAATGCCTAAGAGAAAAGAGTATGATATTATTTATGTGGAATATAAACATGCATTCTCCGTGCTTAATTCATAAGGCTGTCCAAGATGGGAATTTAGAGTGACACCGACAGATTCTCATTGTGTTTCCCTCCTTCAAGCACTACTTTTGAGTGTTGTGGGTGGAGGAAGCCTTGTAAAAAATTAAGTAGTTGAACTGGTTAAAGAAGTCTCTCTGAAAGCAAGTACACTCTGCATAAATAAAACATAGGTAGGCAATTTATTCATCTACTGCTGCTACTTGGCAGGCCAGGTGAAGACTGCAAACTTAAAGAGATCAGGAGAAAAAGAATCCGCGACACTTGGCGCCTGTCTCACACACAATCCCATATGCTAGCATCTATATGCTGTCTGAGCATATTATACAATTATCCCAAGCAGATCCTTAGTGGTTGGTTTCAGTTTCTTCCAGCTTGCCATGGAATTCCAGAAATAAATGTGGAATTTGGGTTATGGCTGGGCACAACTAATTGTGGAAAGTGGGTTCAGTAGGGTGGCTGTATCTCCTGCTTTGCAGAGGACAGTCCTCAGTTTGAGGGTTTCTTGGAAGAGCCCTCTTTCCCCTGAGCACAGACACATATGCAGGCTCTGCAGAGTTTTACAGAGTTCCACCCCCAAATTTGGTAGAATAGTTTATGCCATTGTATAGCTGAACACCTGTATTCAAATACTTTCTCATGAAATACTTTCTCATGATCCTCATGAAATCAAATGAGCATTCGTTGATGCTTTTCCCCCATCATGGACTATTTAAAGGGGAGGTAGCCAAGAAGGTCCTCTCCAGATATTGTTAGATTCCACATTCCATCAGCCCCAGCTAGCATGGCCAATTGTTAAGACAACAGGAGCTGTAGTCCAACAACATCTGGAAAGAACTATGGTGACTATTCCTGGAATACATCAGCCCAAGACCTATTTGCTCAGTGTGACTGGGCAAACTATACTTCTAGTATGAGGGAAAGATGGAACAGTAGAAGATGAGACCAAAAGATGACATTACATCAACACATTTCATTATTGGTTCACAACCAGTAGCAAACCTCTTTTGATATGCCCTGGTTCTGAGCTGTTTGTTTTCTGCTAGACAAATTACTCATGAGAGACCTGGCAGTAGAGAAACAAAGACCTTGGAGACAATTGGGCAGCTGTAACATTTCTGATACTAATGGGTTTTAAAAGGTCATTGCCTGATTACTCATTCTGATATATCTAATATCTTGAGCACATTAAAGTTCTTGTTAGGATGGAGCACCAGCAAAGAGAGACAGAAAAGCTTTTACCACCCTCTCTTATCTTAGCCACATGTGTTGAGATTAGATTATTACAATTGATAGAGCAAAATGAACTTAGTTTCGATCAGCATGTCATAGCTAACACTTTATGAAGTCATGATGGAACAATTTAAAGATACTTGCATGATCTGCACTTCAACACCGGGCTGTGACAAATGGGCATGATGTTCTTCAAATCGGTGCACTCATTTATTTAAGCACTTTGATTAAACCTGAGGGCAATTTTGAATCAAAGGGAACAAATTGTAATTGGTGAGACTGAGACTGAAGGGCAGCCTTGTTTATTTTATTAAAGTAATTTTGGTCCAGGTGTATTACTGAATTAGTGAATATGTTAGTGAATTGAAATGAAAATGTTAAAAATGGCCTTTCTCTTCAAATGAGTAGCTTTGTTTATTAAATGTAAATTTATCTCACACCTCCATCATCTTCCAAACAGCACCCAGATTGAGATTTTGCTGGTATACAACTTTAATTACATTTATTAACTAACAGTCCGATGGTCAGGTTGAGGTTTGCTGATATGCACATTTAATTGATTGAGTGAAACCTAATGATTAATCAACTAAAAATTTAATCAGTGAACAGCTTTAATTCAAAAATCTAAAATAATGAAAATCAACACAGTAGGTCCAGTTAGCACTTTTTAAACTCACATCTCCGTATCACTTAACCCCAGGCATTAGAATATATCCCAAATAGAATTGCCCAGTTGTAACAGTTCCTAAAATAGTTGTCCAAAGACAAGGGTCAGTATAAATTCAAACACATTCACCTTGCATGAACCCTAGCATCAAAGACTAATTCATTGTGGGTATTAGATACAGTATGTTGATGTAAGACAGCCTCTACTATCTATACATTTGAAGGATGTGATGCAGTGCCTAATTCAGATCCTGGCCTCCCAGATCTTAGTGTGGCACTCTAACCACTGCACCAGACTGGCCCACATTTGTCCCCACTTCAATGTGTGAATTAGCCATCAAACACCATAGGTTCTGCTATTGCACCACAACAATTCAATCACAGCAGAGTTTAATAGAGGCAGTTTATATATCCATCTGGGAGCCATTGAACTGGTTTCCCTCATATGGTGGAGAATCAGGCATGCACAACACACCCGTAATGTAACATAATGCAAATGTCCCATGCATAGGCCCAAAACGTGGGTGGGAACACACAGTGTCTTATGATCCTATGCACATACCACATGCATCTTACTGTGTAGAATGAGGCATGTCTGCTTCTCTACCATTCAAAGAGGCTCCTCGTCTAGATGAGCATGTGAACATGGCCACCAATTGATGTGTGGTGAAAGAGCATCCCATCTAATGTGAGGCCTTCCTTGCCATCCCCAGAGCATCCAGTATCTTATTCTTTCCCAGGGTTCTAATCCTGCTTTTTCCAGGCTTTGGGCCAGTCACTGCCTCTTAGCCTAACCTACCTCAGAGGAGTTGTGGGAATTAAAAGCGGAGGTGGATATCACTTTGAGCTCCTTAGAGAAAAAGGTGGGATATAAATGCAGTAAATAAATACTAGTAGTCATGCCTCATTAGGCCGATCCTGAAGATGTGTCAGCTCATGTATTTTGCATCGCTACAGACATCATTTTTAAATAAATAAATCTGGCTTTACCAAAAGATAACCTACTGTAATATTTTTATTTACCACTATGAGCCTGAAATACAAAGACTACAAACAGAAGATACAAGACCCAGGGTATCTTTCTGGATGCCACTTACTAGCTCTACAGCCTGCTTTATCTCATGGCAGGAGTTCCTGGATAAAAGCCCAGGGCCTCTGTTAAGCACAAGGTCAAAGCTATTTATTTTATTCACGCTGACATCAAGTCAAATACGGTGTGCTTTCAATGTACTGCTTTTTTTAAAATGACAGAAAAGTACTCAAACTGAGAATAACAGAGAAGCATGGCTGAGTCTGTGGGCATTTTCAACACCACGTGAATAGGCAGGCTGCAGAGCGAAGAGAAAAGAAACGGATCATAAGCATCAGAAAATAATGAAACCCCTCCTCACACACGTAAATTTGCCCTGACTCTCAAAAATGGAGCTCCTTGCCAGGAACAGTTCCCCATGTGCTGAAACATCAAACTGCAGGGGGCATATTTTCAAGGGAGTACCTTCAGGCCCTAGGTCATTACCACTGACCATTGGCCATGCCAGGTGAAGCAGATAGGAGCTGTAGTCCAGCAACATTTGGAGGGCAACACCCTGCCCTGGGCTGACTCCACCCAAACTGTTGGATTCTTCTGGACA